TTTTATCTTAGTGTTATCTTTATAAAGGAGACGAGTCTGAGTGGAATAGAATTGATTCTTATCGATGATTCCGGAGGAGCTGAACTGCAACGATTGTCCTCGTTTCTTCTGAACTAATTCCAAATTTCGACGCGGTCGACGTTGCAGAGACAACGGATCCTTTGCTTTTGTCAGCCAAGTTCCGTGGATGTTTCCTTCGAACTTCTTCCAATAAAAACTACACGTGATTGACGTACTCTTTTTTTTAATTCAGTAATAAGACATCGATGTCTCAGCTATTATTTCCGATGAAAAAAAAATTGCAGTTCTTCTAAATCAAATCACTCCTTCGTCTATTCCTAGTTCAGCAAGTAAAATAATCGCGTTGTTCTTCTGAAGCAAGAAGAAAAAGAAAAATCGAGTGATCGAAATCGGTGGTGAGTTCGACGAATACATCTCGGTGAATCTGATAACAGTTCATCAACAGTGAAAACGTGGCGGTGTCGTTGGTTTCGCGTGGAAAATCGAACGAAGCATCGAGTTTCGCAGTAACGAACGGGTTCGTTCTGTCGAACAGACTTACCGCTGTGAGGCGAACGACGTCAACCTGTCTCTGTCCGAGGTGGTAAGTCTTCTGGGCCTCGCCGACGACGACGAGGTCCTTGCTGGCACGTCCGAAGAGAGCAGGAAGAGAGCGTTGTGGCAATTTTACTCGACCGGGATGCTCACACACAGCCACAGCGACGGGGAGTTCCCTATTTATTCCCAGGGTGAGTCGACGATCAAACTTCTCAGAATCTTGCAACTTGTTTTCCTATGATTTGCATGACACCGTTTCGGTTGTTTAGTTACTCGTTCGTTCGATCAAGTTTCTTTTCTTTCTTTTATTCACCAAGGATTTACATTTGTTTCTAGTTGTTTCTTTGATTTCGAATGTTTTTGTTTTTGGGAAAGAGAAGCTTTCCTTTTTGCACTTATAGAAAGGGTTGTGATTTAATGTTTTTCTCTTTGCACACGTAGCGCATGCAGATTTTAGATAAATATTTATTCCTCTCTTGGGAGAGGAAACAAATTGTAACGATGCTTTAACTTCGCTGTTACATGCTTCGGTGTGTGTAACCGTTATGCGTTTCTTCTAGTGAAAGTTCAGTGTTACAGAGAAGGAAGGAAAGTCATTGTGATTTATAAGTCGTGTTATTAAGTAAAATCTGAATCTCTGTTACATTTCTCGTAATGAATATTCAGAGGATATTTAAAAATTGTAATCTCGAATACGCTAGAGTTACAGCTTGTTTTTGTACAAATTCAAAGTCTGCTTATTAAGTTCAATTATTTGGAGAACTTGGTATCCCGTGCAGGTCGAGTTGGAATTAGGCCAACCAACGACCCATAAACACGTTCAGCATTAATACCAATAAACTCATTAGGATCGGTGTGACCGGATACTCGGCTGTACTAATGATAGAAATTCGAAGCGTGTTCACGGTTGTTACACATCGTGTCCAAACGTTTCCGTTTTTTTTATCATACTTTTCGTATTTTTGCCATTTTCAGTAAGAAATTTAATTTAAGGATTAATTTAAAAAAAAAAAACATGAAGACCAGGAAATATAATTACTGGCATGACGAAAGTCGGCGAATTAGAAAGTAGTTCATCGGTATAATTACATGTCGATAATTGAGGGTATAGTTTGGTTAGTAACGTTGCAAGAAACGCTGCCAAATTTGCTCCGCTCTAAAACGCTCTAAACGCGATACATACTGCCAATACTGTTGCGGTTTAGTGTAGGTCACGATGAAACTCGTGCAGCAAGTTGCGTTTGCCGCAATCATTTCCTGCATCCTTTTGCCGTCTTCTCCAGCGACCTACTGCCAGCTTACTCGCAGAGGATGTGGCTGCGTAATCAATTTTTAAGCGTGGACTTTTAATTGCTTGCCTTTGCGCAACGGAAAATCCATCGCTAACGATCACTACCTTCTCCCACGATTACCTCACCTGGATACCATGACCGTTCGTTATTAGCGATCAAGATATTTCATGCAGCTTCCGTTCTGCGTGCTCCACGGTTCGAGATGGTGGGTTCGTCGAAGGAATACGTGGGATAGATATTTTAATTTAATTTTTTTAACGACAACCTTCTCGGATAACATTTTACCTATTGCTCGCCACCACTGAATAAAGGAAGGAAATCACTGGAATCGAAGAAAAGTTGCGGACGCGATCCACCGAAGGTTCTGCACCCGGGCAGCGGATAAATCGCGTGTCGAACTCGGTCAGGTCGAAAAGAAATGCAATTTACATTTTGTTTTCCATGTTGTTTCGATGCTAGCATCTGGCACGAGCCGAGTTGGCAAATAAACTCGCGTTTATTCTCTTACGAATCGATCAGTGTTACGTCGTTTCTTAGATCGTTACCACGTTCATTGCATTTAACTGAAATATTATTTTACAAATGTTCGAGTACTATTTTCAGAGACTGCGTATTACAAAGTCTCGAGAAAAACGAGCAGAATTCCTTCGAGAAGAATCGTGTATTTCACACTTGATTTTATCGTCGTTTAACCAAACGACGTCCTCACGCTTGATCTGTTAATTACAAAAAGTCTTTGCTGACTGTTCGTCACCGTTTCAACATATTTAACCGCGAAACTCTGTGAATTCCAACGACAAATAGGATTGTTTTCTATCGTACGGCTCGGGTATCGCTTCATAGCTAACTTCGATGAGATTCCCGCGTAAAGTTGCCCTTTAATTACAGTTTCGTCGGGAGTTAGAGAGGTACTTTGATTTCCCGCGTGGCGATCGATCGAGGACCCAAGGGGGGGGAAAAGATTTGCGAGGACGAGGTATTCGTAGAATACAAACGAATTCTCTTTTCCCTCCCTTTGCCTGATAACCGGCGAAAGAAGCTTGCTTTTACCCTGCCCTTTCATTGTGTTCCTCGCTTCTTTGCTCGGAACTGATCGAACGGTTCGACGAGAGACCCTCGAGGAGATGCATCGTTGTTGGAAAGTTTATAAGTGATTGCTTCCGAGAACGATGAACATCTGAAAACATGCATAAAGGAGGAATCAATTACGTATAACTACGCGATATGTTATAAGGGAGTTTAATAAATTTTCCCTTCTGTATTGTTGAATTATTCGAATGCTGTGCTTAGCACGTTCGCAGTCATGGTTGTCTGGCTAGACGAATACGCTCTTGCGTTTAGACTAATTCGTCTGGCTGGAGCGTAGAAACAGGGAATCTGAAGAGAAGATACCACGGCATCGTGGCTGAGCCGAATTAGCGGGTTCACGGAGAGGCCGTTTAACGGGTAGGAAGGTTAATCCGATTTGCATTTAATCAGCGAGCGAACCGTGCAATGAATATTCAAAACACACATAGGCTGTTTTACTTGAACGTTACCAAGCGTTTATCACTGGCAGTCGCGTTCGCATTCGTTGAAACACGAAAGCTAGTTATTTTTTGGTAACTAAGATCTGGTACATAATTCTAGTAAACGCAAAGTATTGTATCGTATCAATAAATTCTCTGTTTGAAGAACGATTAGCGAATCGAAGACGGATCACGAGCTATCTCGTAAATTTTTTTACGCTCGTTTGAACACGGATCACGAGATGTCTCGTGCTTTATCGGCGATGAATATTGATTAGTCTGTAACGAATCGGTTTTTGAATAAATTTGTTTAGTTTAATCGTTCCATTACTGATAATGCCTGACTGGCAACGAATTAACACCTTCGGCTGCAAATGTAGCCCAGAGGTGTTTAATTAAAATATGTACAAGATATAATTGGAATAAATGGATGAATTTCGAAGGAAAATATTCTTTACTTTAGAGGCAAGAGAAATATTGAAAATGTATCGTGGATTTCTAAATCACTATAACTAAACGTTCGTCATCTCGAATATATGTCATTCGCAATGAAAGGGTTAAGCAATGGGATCCACACGTTTCCTCGTGTCCCGTTTCGAGAGCAACCTTTTCAAGAAAGCACATCCTCTTAGTAGCCTGTTAAATATTCACGAGAATCTGACGTTTGAACCTGTGTTACCGAGTCGACGAGGTACAGGACCTGCGAGACCCTGTATCGACCTACGAGTCCCTTGAGAATCCGGCCGCTTTTCCTTTTCCAACATCGCCGACAAAGAGCTCGTTAAAATTTCCACCTTGGAAATTACTGTGCACGCGATTAAAAGGGCTGTTAGGTTTCATTACAACTATTTATGTGTCTGGACTGAAAGTTTCAATTGCATTGAAAACTTCCTAGCATTCTATTATCGCGAACAGTTTCTTCAGGATCGTCGATGTCGTACTCTTTATTGTCTATACGGCTGTTACGAATTCCCATGCGGAAATCATAGACGCCGACAAGCTTCCGTTTATAGGGTGGATGCAGGTAGTGAAAGCCTGTCACCATAACTCCCAGCTACTTGCCACTGTTTCAGATTCTCATGAAACATGGTACGATGCTTGTACAGAGGCGAAGTGTCTAGGATACGAGCGTCATAGTAGACGTAATCGCCATTTCTTTCATGCAGGGTGTTACATGGTCCATAGAAACAATGTGTAAACGTGTTGTAGCAGAGCTTTAGTTGCTCTGAAATCACCAAGACGAATTTTCCGGGGCCAGGTTAAACGTGCTACCACAACCTTTCGTACGAGGTTTAACATTTTTATCGCGTTTGCTGTTCACCATAAATTCCACCTAACTTTTACGAGTTCTTTTACCGTTCAATCCATTCTGCTTATAGTAGTTTTCGTGTCTATGAATACGGTTAGTAAAAACGGGATAGGAAAATTGTCGAAGATTCGTAAATATTAGCTGACCGTTTATCAACTATGGCAGATGTTACGTTTGGATAATTCTTTCGCGTCCTTTTTAAGCCAAGGATAACATAAATTCACGGAAATTCAGGGCATACATTGTGGACATTTACAGAACAGGAATCACGGGGTTGGTTTGTTTTCAACTTTCACGATACGTGATTGTTGAATTAACTAAATAAACTGACAATTATTGTTTTATTAATTGCTTTATTATGACAACGTACGAAAATACAAAATTTTACTCTGCGAATTACTTGTTCATATTTATCCGCAGTTTATCATTTATTTACATCAATATCAATCTACACGACGGAGATCAATAACTTATAACTTGGAATGTTAATTTGATATGGAAGTTGATATAGATTTGCAATATTTCGTAGTGATGCGATGATTGTCAGTAATGATCAATTTTCAGCGTCCCCAACCGGCTCTGTGAAAAATAAAAAAATAATTTTCCTCTATTAAAAATGTCGAATCAACACATTTTATCAAATTTTACTTGATTTCTTTAACCCTCTTACAGCGGACCATGAAGAGGGCCTCAATTTTAATTTAATTTTGTATTTCATATTATTTTCATTTTCTAAATTTAACACTGTTCCTTGAAAAATTATTCTTCTCTTAATTATTAATCAATAATTATAAACTTACCCAACATTGGCGTACGATATGGTGGAAGATCGTCGATCGGGTTGCAAATTATAATAAGTATTATCACCGCCATCGTAGTCTTGATCGTAGAATGGTCGGCGGAACCAGAAGTAATATGGATATTGTACGGTGTCCCTAGCTGCGAGTAATTCCAGATTACCTATTTATCAAAAGAAAAATTCATCACTTCAGATTCCACGCACTTTAAATTATTTTAGACAAATCCTAAGTCTATTTCTTCATTTTATATTTCGAACGTTCCATCTATTTCATTTCGTAGATTTGATTTTCTGTTTTCACTCACCGTTTCCGGGCTGAGCGATCGGCTTAGCGATGACCACAAACAGCAAGTACAAAAGCACGATCGAAAAAGAGAAGACGCTTTTCTTCATGGTTCTAGTCTCGAAGTGGAAGTTCGGATCAAATCGCTAGCTGGTTTTTATCTGAATGACGGTGTTCCGTTCCTCTCTTATATACTCTCGAGCTTCGTATGCATCTTGATGCGTCAATCTTGACGTTTTGAACACAAAGAAGCTGTTAATTCGCGTTCGTAAAAACGTTTCGAGGATGACGAACAACGCTAATGAACACCGCAATCTCGAACGAGTAAAAACCGGTGGTTTGTCTCTTCGGTTTGCACTTCAACAAAAACAGTTAAACCTCATCTCGAACGTAGTTGTATATTCGTTTGTAGTCACCAGATGTGCCTTTTTCCTGATCGAATATTCCAGTAAACACTTTTAAACGGTAGTATAAGATCAATCTTTACATTCTGCTACGACAATTTTACGACTAAACGTACTGTACTCGTTGAACTTTCTGATTAGAACCTAACGTGTGACGACTTTGTTATTCTCAACATTGTGACGACCAATTTTGCGAATTTGAGAACACGTAACATTCTATATCATCATTCGTTACCGTTTTCAATTTCCAGAATCGAATTAGGGGAAATCTAAGAAAGGCCTCGGAAATCTTAACTCATTCCTGCTAGTTACAGTTTGACAATTAGTTGTCCTGTTTGAAAAAGTGTCTCATCAACAAATAGGATTTCAATATAATGATTTGCTGTTAATTACGTTATCTTAATGAAACACGGTTTGTCTATTGTCACTACTAAATTAATGTCGCTCTCGTTATCATTATCATTACCGAATTAGTATAATTTTCTACTTAGACACACGCGGCCCATTATCTCTGCTCGTCCGACCGATAACGAGGCTCCGACGCTGCTCCGGTCTGCCTTCCCGATAACAGAAACAGACAATTAGTTTTGCAAATTGCTCGAACGTTGCTCGTACTCGTAGACAAAATTAACAATTCATATACCGTACACTATTGCGAACGAATAAGAAATGAATCAAGACCCCCTGTAGTACTTTGTTTCATTTAAAAATGGTTGAAACGTTCGTAAAGCGTTTCTTGTCCATTGATCTTTGTCAGATTCATTTCTATCCAGGCAGAAAATACGAATGGTTATTTCTACACTCCCTGGCATCGAATTATTTCAAGCTCGTTGCACACGTCTTTGAGACGAGTAACGAGCAAGTTAATTCGCTTCGCTGGGATTTGCGGTGGCCAGGGAAGGGTCGGTCTGACGAACTTCCACGTCAATTAAACGCGCTACTTCAACGCTTGCTACCAATAACCCGGCAGAAACTTGCGAAATGCTTGCTTCATAAGGGCCGTCACGGTTGCTGTTAACTTCCCTATCCGATTACAAATGCTACCAGTATCTTAGGACTTTGCGCTAGCCTACTTAAAACTATTAATGAAGTTTCCTGCGGACAGCGAAGGGGATGAACGAAAAATTCAGTATCCCATTATAGAAACACTTTGGATAATTAGAGTGACATCCGGGATTGAAAGCTTCGTGTCTTTTGCACAATGGAATGAAAAATACGTGTTACAGTTAGAGTACATTTGAAACGAAGAGAAATTGGGTCGAACGATCTACTGTTGCGAGGGTCGAACGAGCAGAGAAAAAAAGTTTCAACTTGGTGAAATAATTTAAAATTTTCAGCGCAATCGGGGACGAGGAGAATAGATGAAAAAGAGCGAACCCTCGGTTCGGTTCGATAACACGGCGTCGTGTTGGAGGGGTTGTCCTCGTTGGTATTTCATAAAAAAAAAAACTAACTTCCCGACGATGCTTGAACGGAGATGCTTCGTTAATCGATTATCGTTATTAGGTTGCGGCGAGCCGGTCGTTCAGCTTTTGTCATCGCATGAAAACTCGTCCGCGAGCGATGCCACGGCGCCGAGCCGCGTCGCGTCGCGTCGCGTCGGTTGATTTCGTCGGGAATCGATGAAACGCTTTTCACAGAGCGTAGGAGCGCGTCCTGGCCGAGCGGAAAACGCGACATCACGTGCCGGCACGCTCGTGAATGGACAAACGTTCATTGAATAGTTAAGATCTACCGGCGTGCTTCCGCTGCAAACGGCAACGGCTTTTTCTCGTCTCTTCGTTTCCTCTTCTCCGATGAAATCCATAGTTTTAGAAAATAAATAAAGAAATGAATTTTGAAGAAATTGAACGGTAAAAATTAGACTTCGATGGTACTGTAATAATCAATTAGAAACAATTATATTCGTCCTGCGTTATGGAAATTGTAATTACAAATGCGTTGTACTCGAACGTAACTCGCCGCATCATTAATATCGCGAGAACAACCGAAACTAAATTCATTAGGAGACAAATCGAGGGCGGGGGAGTATGCGTTTCATTAGTTTCAAGCGGAGAGGAGTCAGCGTGTTGACGCAGACGCGGGATTCTGGCCGCGATCAACATTTGTTCACCCTGCAATTTCAGTCCAGTGAGATCATCCTCTTCCCTTTTGTTGATGTTTGGTTTTCCAATTGTTTCCACGTTCCCGCATTGACTAAGAACAATGAAATCTGTCTAGCTATCAGAAGCGCGAATATTAATTGTTAAGGTAGTTGGTACTTTCAGGATTAATCGTTTCTAGTATTGAAACTCGAAGAAAAATAATCCGTCGGTGAATTTAACGAATTATCCAACGAAAGTTCATCATCCATATCTCTAGGAACTTTGTCTACCATCGCATAGTAATTATCCGGATCCACGTGGTCGTAGTCAGAAATTGCACGACGTCGTGCTGAACACGCGTGTTACTTGATCCAATGATGTCCGTGGCTGCTGGCTGTCGCGTAATCATCGTGAGAGAGCTGCCATTGTGCCAGATAGCTGGCTGATACATTGCAAAGATTATTACCCTTGGCATACATTCATATTCCATTCGACGAATTCATCCGCACGCTCGTTTATCGTACACAACATTGAACTTCATCCAGATAGTCCTAGAAACGAAGTGTCCATGATCATCGAAGAAATCTTGAGATTTCTCGAACAGTTACCAATTTGGTGGTTTCACTTGAAAACAAATTTAATTGATGTTACGTAAAAAAATATTTCGTTAGGTTTCGTTTGCAAAGAATGTGCATTTCGTAATCTGTTTTCTTTCAGATTAGAAATTCAACCACATTCCTTACACGAATATAGCTTCCTTTCTGTTCCTAGTTTTATGAATGGCGATATATTAGAATTCATTAACAAATATCTGCTACTAGTGTGTTGGTGAAGAAAAAGTATAGCCCGATGCGGTCCGACTGTAAATTAGTTTCGAAAGTGCCGAAGGATTTCCGCATTCTGAGTTCGTGTCGCAACGGATGTTAATAATTAAACAGTGCAATTATTACTGTACTCCTTTTGTCTCTATTTCTCTTTGTTCAAAAAGGAATGCATATAGAATTTACATAACTCAGTGATTCACCTGACTGGTAAACATAGTTGAGTTACGTTTTAATCTAAAAATACCAAGCGAAACGAGTTTCCTGTCGGAGAACGTGTATATAATTTACAAGCGACACTCATTAACGGGGCTATATAATTTCCAACCCTCTGATCGTTGGAACAACCTGACCGCCGACCAATTTGTGGGATCAATTAAAATTCATAAACGTCCAGACTTAGCGGTTTCGTTTTATCTTCGTCGACGCAGCTGACGCGTTGCATTAATCGTCGAAGAATATTTTCTATACACGACTGTTGTTTATTTTCATCTCGACGCGTAAGCTTGATTATTATTAGGCGAGTTCGATCCATTGCAGCTACACGTGTAACTCGGCTCGATGCGGAAACTACGGCCGTGTTACGGTATCGGGGCTCCACTCGATATCGGTCTACGTCCAACTAAAAAGGACGATCTAAACTGGCACAGATAGAGAAAAACTAGCAGGTACTTCGAGACCAGTAAACGACGGACGTACGACTACGAGCAGCAGCTCATAGATCAACTAACAAACCAGTTGGTAGTCTACTAACGAACCAGCCAATCTGTTCCTCGGAATCTTCTTAGACTTCTCTCGACGACGTGTTTCGGGATAAAAGTTGCACACGATCCTTTGCTTTTGGCAAGACTCTCCTTTAAATTAAGTTTGTCAGAGGTAATCAATAGTCTGATGTAAATATTAGGATAATTAAGAGTTAACTGAAGATTCATCATCCAGAGAATGTCTAGATCGATCGAGAAGATTTCGATTCCATGACCTTCCCCTAGCGGGCTAAAAATCCCACAGCCTATTTGCGTCAATCCCTATAAGCCACGCGTCGATGTCGTCTATTCTTGGCTCGGTAGAGAGGCACAGCTACACCATGGTGCACCGAGTGCCAATCAAGCGTCGCTCGGCTGCTCACAAAGCCTACTCTCTTTCCGTTGTGTGAAGGGGATAGTTCACGGTGGCTCGGTGTTAGTATAATCGAAGCGACGGAAGCCCGGCAAGGTGTGGTGGCTGGCCACGGCACGTTCCTGCACGATGTAAACAGGCCGGCCAGGTCGAGCTCCAGTGCACCGGATACCGTTGACGAAGACGGCCACGCGGTTTCACCATTCGTTCTTTCCTTTTTTTTCCTCCATAAGATTGCTTCCTGCCGCGAAGATTCATTTCGTTCCCCTGATCGGATCTTTCCTTTGTTTCAAGCAACATTTGCTAGAGGTAGAATAGATAAGCTATCTATCACGTCATGCGTTGTCTCGTTTGTGATCCAATACAGATTATCTTGATATAAATCGTGTTAGTGACGGATAAACGAAGGAACTAAACGGTCGATCGAACGAACTTAATAACCCTGTTCACCGACGATAGGTGATTACACTTGGCGACAGTTTTTGATATCAGCGAACATCAGTGGAATACATCAGCTTAGCTGACACACTTGCTGGATCGATGGAAGCCTTGCAACGAGGCTGACACACGGTGGTTCAAGTGCATCCCCGAGGAAAACAACAAACAAACAAACAGTCGACGATTTTCCAAGAATGGAAATGAAATTACAACGCGAGCTGCAATTCTTTGGCTAAGCGTGGCACGGTTGCAGGTGGTTGATTAATTATCTATCACGGTCGAAAGCGAGCTCCTACGAGGTCCTTGATTAAAGA